AAAAAGAAAAATGGAGAAAGCGATATAAATTGGAAAGTTTCCAAAGAGACAAAGAAAAGAAGATATATATATATAATACTAAAATTCTTATAATTAAGACGTACGCAGTTCAATGTCTATCTTTATTAAGCTGTGTGCAATTTTGTAATACAAATAATATGTCAGAAGTAGTATCTATATTTTAGTTATACTTACTTGAGTTAATTGCAACATTGCCATAACCTCAAAGCACAACAGGATGAGGTCTAGTTAAATAAAAAGAAGAAAAAAAAAAGAAATCCTTCTGCCCACGCCATTTCAGCCACACTCCTAAATTATATTGTATACCGCCTTTTCAGCTTCTTCTGCCCATGATCACAATATGCTAAATTCTTTCCATTATTTTTCCCAACTGAAAGATTATCTCAAACCAGTCTCTCACAAGCTATCGTTTGGATGCTTCTCAATTCCACAATCCATTCGGCTAAGTGGTAAGTATTTTTTATCAATCTAATTTTTCCAGTATATTGTAGATACGTTGAAAGCTTGTGCTCATTATGATTGGGATTTGAGGCCTAATTTGATTATTAGTACTTATTTTTTACTATCTAAAGATTTTTAGAAATCAATAAATGCTACTGTAATCTTTTTACATTATCAGGAAAGAAAGTTTGTCAGAAAAATGACTTCAAATCGTGAATGGATGTACAAAAGGTTAACTAGAGGTTTGTATAATCCAGAATTCGTAAGGGATGTTGAGCAATTTATTGAGTTTGCAAAGAATCATCGGGAAGAGAGGGATGGTGAGAGACTAAGGTGCCCATGTAACCAAAAAAAGTGTCAGAATAGAAATTTTGAAGATGTTCTTACGGTCCACAAACATTTATTGCGGGACGGCTTTGTACCTGGATATCATATATGGTACTTGCATGGAGAAAATGAGGTTACTAGAAATATAGTTCAACATGAAGAGATGCACAATTGGGATCAGACTATGAATACTGCATCAGTAAATGTGGGTGCAATTGATGAGCCTGGATCACCTACTTCATACCATAGAATGGTCCTTGACGTCGCTGGCCCCTCATTCGATCCGAATGATATGGATGAATTACCGAATCCTGATGCGCAGAAATTTTATGATATGATTGATTCTGCAAATCAAGAGGTGTGGCCTGGCTGTGAAACACATTCTCAATTATCAGCTGTTGCACGTTTATTGCATATCAAGTCTAAATACCATCTATCTGATAGATGTTTTGATGACATTTATCAATATGTGAATGAGATGATTCCTCCTGATAACCTAATGCCAAAAAATTTCTATGAAACTAAGAAGTTAATGCAGGGAATGAACATGCTAGTAAAAAAAATTCCATTTGATTTTCCAGTAAAGTCTGAATGAATGAAACATAGTATATAATTTATTTTTATTACTGTTTTATTTTACATTTTCTAAGAAAAAAGTTCCTGGATTTTAGATTTTATGGTTTCTTATTTTTTTTTTAAACTTAAGTATTTGTATTTAATAGCTCTTTCGCTTGCTTGTTTGACTGGTTACCATCAATCTCATTTTGTGAGGAGTAGTAATTGTATTTTGCAAATGCGGTAAGAAATACTTATGAAGTTGTTTGTCTTTTTAATCTGCCATGTCTATATTAATACTTGTATGCCTTAATTTTTTTAGAGTATTCTGTTCTTAGAGTAATATATCAATTAATTACTCTTGGAATAATATATCAATTAACTACTTATTACAGTATCCAATTAGATTTGATCATAATTCATTAATTATGTATTTGTTCATTTACATATGACTTTGGAATTGCAGATATGGCATCTAGGGGAGGTGGAGCACGTAGATATGCTGAAAACAGGAATGCAAACACACTGAGATCTCCTGAGATGTTGAGTCCTACATCTAATTAGTCATCATTATCACCTGAACCTCCAGTTATAGAAACACCACATTCGGATGCAGCTATAAACAGATCCTTACCATCTTCATCTTCTGATCTTGGTACACCTGGAGATGAAATCCAAACAACTAGTTCGTCAAACACAATTGGTGGTAACCGTATCCCTATTACAATCGTCCTTGGAGGGTAAGAGTACAACTGTCATCTATTTATATTTATTTATTTATTTTTATTTCGTGCTTATCTGGTGTGTATCAGTGCATCTTTGTGAAGTTATGTGAAGTCATACCTGATTGTTTAGCATCTAAAAATATAGATACATATTTAGACTATTAGGACAGACATGTTGAGGCACAATTTGTTATAGTATGCCAGTTACCGAAATCTTTTTTATCTTTTTTATATGGTACGTACGACAAGCACTTCAAATAAACATGTCATTTGATTTTCTACTCTAACAAGAAGGTGCTCTTATCCAAAAAACTAAAGAAAGCAGGAAAGTTCTTATCTTTTTCAATATGACTAGACAATGACTCTAGATGAATATGCTCATGGAATCTTCTTATAGAAGAAAGTTTTTCTATTTTATTTTATATGAAGTAAGACTTGGTCTTATTAGGAAAACTTTTGGAATAATGTATATGATTTTCCAATATGAGTGCATTAATGTGGTCTTCGTTGCATACCAAAATCTTAATTCCTTCATATTAACTCTAGTTAGGAGGTAACAACTCATTTACTGCAGTAATTGTGTAAAATAAATATATTACTTACACTTCACACAAAAAATATAAATTGGTTCATAAGTAATTCACGTTATTTCTCAAATGCTTCTTGAAAGAATATGAAATCTTTAAATGAAATGGAGTAATAAAATAATTCGTTTCTTATTTACTCAAGTCTGGACCCAGGCAATCAAGTCGCTCGGTCTGTCACAAAAATCTTCAAGGAGAAACTGGATAATGAAGGACATAATTGGAAGTCTGTTACACCAGAGATAAAAGATTTCTATTGGGAAGAGTTTAAGCTAAAGTTATAGTACTAATTATCATTTTAATAATGGAATTTGTACATTTTAAATTTCTATTGTATCAATCTTGTATTTCATCTTTTCTGTGCGCATTCTAAAAAATACTGGTTTGGGGCTTCTAACATTTGATTAATACTAGGGTGGGTAGCCAAACAAAATCTGGTTAGTAGTCTTCAATGTCGAGTGTATAGGAGATATCGGATAATTATGATGAACTAATAAATAAATGCATTAGAAGTATGCTTTAGTTGGCTATGGAGAATACAGTTCTTTGCTTTGTTAGTTTCTAGATAGATAATTTCAGTAGTCCGACCTAAAATGTGGGAGAAATCATGATATCGTGAATGAGCTCCTAAGTATTTCATCTACTGCTATTAATTCTATCGGAAGTAAACCGTTATACATCTCTTACATCTTTGAGAAACCTTGTAATCATGATTAAGTCCTTATAGTTTGTCATATTGGTGCTTTTTTCTTCAGAATATACTTCTGTTGAGTACATATGTGATACATTTATCAGAATTTCACGATACTTGAATTCCTCTCATTGCAATATTTTATTTTTGTTGCATAATTAGGGAAAAATAATCATAATCCTTATATATAACAGTTTTTATAACGTCCAAGACTTCTTAGTTTTAGTGCTTTTATGCTGCTATAAATACCTACACATCAGTAATGCAAGATAAAAGGATGAAAAATAGAAAACTTAATACCTTAATATTATACTAGTTAGTTTCCCTTTCTGCCAAATGTCCAAATGTCATGAAGTAACTAATGCATGAATTATTTTAAGATCTCATATTTCCTTCAACTTCCGGAATATACATATGTTGAATTTTATAGGTTCTGGTCCAAGCATCGTCATTTATCAAGTACCTTGACAGAGCAATTCTTGGACTGCTATGTCCTGCGGCACTAGTGTACGAGAAGAACTAGGGAAAATTTATAATGACCACAACAGTAAAGATGGAATAAGCATAAACTTTTGGTCCCATATGTTGATAATAATTGTGTCTCGCAAAGGTTTTTGCTATCTTTAGGGATCACTGTTCTTTCTTAGTATTTGGTTGGTGATCTCTATTTTTAACTTGATTTCTAGATCAGTAATTTTTTTTCTTTAGCTAGGCTAGAAGATCCTTCTCATTCCTTTTAGATATTTGAAGCTATTCTTTTTTTTCCAAATAAGATCGATAATATTTGGAGTTCTCTTTATTTTTCTTGAGCTGAGGATCTACTATACTGGGTAGGTTGTCGTCGTTGTTGTTGTTGTCAATATCTTGTGTTATTTTTTATTTGATCTTCTCAAACAGAAAAGATTTCAATGGGACACTACAATTGAAGATGCCATAAAGGATAAGTTTATAAGCAAATGTGCAGAACGATACAAGGGTATGTTATCTGAAGCAAGAGCTTGTGAGAAGAAGCGCAAACATATTCCAGTATCTATTTGGGAGAGCTGGAAGCCTCACTGGGAGACTAAGGCTTTTCAAGCCAAGTCTACACAATGCTCAAGGAATCGACTAAGTGAAAAAGGTGGTGAAGGGTCTGGTCCCTCACGCCATACAGGAGGCTCTAGAGCTCACCGAGAACATGCAAGACTACTGGTATATTCATTTTTCTTTAGCCAAGTTAGAATATCTTCAAATCTAGTGATTATGTATTAATATAGTGAACTTGATTTTTAATTTTAGGCTAAAGAACTAGGAAGACCAGCTCATCCACATGAGCTTCTGAAGAAGACACATGTCAAGGCGAACAAGGAGTTTGTGGACCAGAAATCTAAGAGCACATATGTAAGTTACTATAGCTTGGCTGTCATTTTTTGGCACGAAAAAGTAAAGCACCTATTTTGGCGATTACATATCTCCTATTACCAGTTTTGAGTGAGTGATCCCCAAAATTGGTCTTACAATTTGAACTAAGAAATGTGAAAATCTGTAACCTATAACAGTATAAACAAAATATAATATAAACTAGCCATATGGATATAAATCGCATGAGCACCCACTGTCTCCAAATTGGTTCGCCTTCTTCCAAGAGCTGGGCAGATCCTTGTAGCACTTTGAACAATTTATTGACATCTTCATTATTTGGTTGAAAGCGTAGCACAAACTTTGAGCACTAATCCAAATGAAAACAGTACATCCTTCAGTTCACACGATATTCATGCTTTTGTGTGATTCCTTGTTGATTTGTTAAAACTCATCTTGATATTCCATTGCATCCTTTTATGTATTCTGTTAACTCCCCATATTTGGTAAATATCTTGTGAATCACCTCCCACATTTGAAACTTCGAGTTATCCAGGTCTATAGCACAATAAGTTTCCTTTATGATTATATAGTGTACCTTCCTAGAATGTAGTGATGTCCAGTACAATATCAATGTATTATTCCCATGAATCACATCCTGAGAAATTATACATATGTAATACAGTGCATATGCCCTTCTGAGGGCCCTCCAAATGTAGCTATTAAAGTCAGCCAGGAGCGTGGCCAAAGAACTGGGCAGTGGTTTTTCTCTAAGATGCAGTAAATGTGAGTCCCTCTTTTCTTTATGGAAAAATGGCAGAAACATAATGGTTTGGACATGATTGTGCATTTTGAGCATATGCCCTCTAAGATTGAGAGCACAGATAGTCCTAAGTATTTTTTATTTACTCCATGGTTCCATGCTTATGCCTACTATCCGATACTCGTTCATGGGAGTGAGTATCAAGTGCTAATACTACCCAATGAAATTGTATCAAATGGTTAGGCATGGATACAATAGCTTTCCCTGCAAAAAAGAACACAGTGTTAATATAAACAAGACCCACCATATTCTCCTTCCTAAGGATTTGAACAAGGCAGGTATGTATGGTTATCTCCTCCCTCCATTGTGTTCACCTTCTCCTCCCCTTTCAATCTCTTGCAACTCTTATCCTTAAGTATGGGCATTGAAGTTTATCGTTATTCACAATCCTTTTCCTGTACCGTCCAGTTGTGCAAAAGAATCACACTCCATAGGACCTACATCAAGAGCATTATTAGCTAAGTTATCGGCCAGTTTGTTGTCTCCGCGATACATATGCGTTATGATAGTGTTACACTCCTATAACAGCTTCCTTATTTCCTCCACATGCTCTACAATTCCCTATGGTGTACTCCACCTTCCTTCAATGATATTTTTTAATAGCATAGAATCTGTTTGCACCCAAATAGGAGATAGCAACTGAGCTTTACAATACCTTAATGCATGAAGGATAGCTACTGCCTCTGCTTCTGTGTTTGTAGTTTCATGAATCTCCTGCCCATGTACATAAATAATATCCTCTAATGCATCTCGTATACAGTAACCAATTGAACTCTTGCCTGGGTTCCCTCTCGTAGCACTATCAGTATTCAATTTTAGCCATCCTTCTCTAGGAAACTCCCAGATGATTTATAAATCTGCACATGTAAGCTGTATAACATGTCACTGTTGAAAATTATTACTTCTTTATCTGAAAGTATAATAAATTGATGACGAACAAGTAATGCAATTTGTAGGGAAAAATTGTTGTGTATATCAAAACAATTGTCTTTAAGGTGTTGTTATTGACATTTGAGTTTTCAGTTTTGTTGCCTTTATGAGTCTGTTCTTGATGTTTTCTCTTTCAAAAGTTATTATTATAGAGTTTATATCATTTTTTTTTTGTTCAGGATGCCATAATGTCTAAAATTGTATCTGCGTCTCAGCCTGAAGATAGGTCCAGTAAGCCTCCTGAAGTTGATTACTCACAAATTTATTTGGAGGAAGTCGGTGTTAAGAAGACGCACATTTATGGTCTTGGTTCTCAAGCTCCTTTCTATGGGCATGTTGGTGCATCCTCCAGTTCGATATCTCCACTTCAAGATATAGACTTTAATGCTCGGGTGAATGAATGTGCCGGGCATCGTTTGCAAGAAATTAAGGAAGAGATGAAACATGAGATGAGATCAGAGATCAGAGAAGAGATTAGACAAGAAATGAAAGAAAAAATGCGAGAAGAACTGCGTGAAGAAATGAGACACGAAATGCAACAAGAGGTGCGTGAGCAAGTTGATCTACTACTCCAAAATCGTCTGTCTGTCCTCATAGGTGGCTTACCTACACCGCCTTCTCGTAGACCTGACTCGCCGTCAAATGACATGATTTAGATTTATTTTAGCTTCTTTTATGTTAGACGTGTCTTGGATTCTGCTTTCAATTTTATGATAGATGTTATATTATTTATAAAGTTCTAATATGTTTTTTGTTTTGTTTAATATTTGTAATAGTTGGTAACACATTTACAATTTGTTAGTAAATTTTATGACGAGTTACTAGCGTAAATTTTAAAAATAAATAACCATATTTGCTAACGAATTTGAAATTTACTTATAAATTACCAACAATTTCTTAAACAGAACTTTTCCATAGATAAAATTACCAACCGATTGCCAATGTACTTTTAAAATATACTATCGGATTTACCAACCAAGTTGGTATCCATTAGTATAGTTGCTAACGGAATACAAACGAAAATTTTCTTGTTACTATATTTACCAACCATTTACAAACACAATTTAAATAATGAAAAACCAATTTTACTAATTCATTTTCTATTTGTTAGTAAAGTTACTAACGGACTTCCAACCGAATTTTGGTTAGTAAATTTACCAACGAAAATCTTGGACTCAAGATTCAAAAATTACCAACAAATTTATTTCGTGTTTACTAACTGATTTTTAGTTGGTAATTTTACCAACAAATTCAAACTGGTTGGTAAAATTTACCATCGAGCCTTTTAGCAACGGATCAATATCCGTTGGTAGTAACTCAAATTGTCAATCAATTTGATCAGTTTACCAACAATTTTTTTTGTTGGTAACTGGGTTTTTTTTATAGTGTAATATTTTACTTATGTACACAGTATAATTTTTCGACGAAGGGTGGTCAACTGACCACCTTTGCGACCATGTGACTTTGCCACTTAGGCCCGACAAGTTAACGTATAAAAGATTAAATAACGAAAAAAAGAGGTAAAAGACGTGGAACAAGGCGAAAGTAATTTAAAGAATAATCGGAGTAACTTACAAAGATAGCTAGCTTAATCTAGTGGATCTTCGTTATATTTATCTTCACAAATACACATTCTTTTTATAGAACATATCCGTGGTTAATTTATTTATCTTTTCATCTATTTTTTTTATAGTATACTCTGTAGGAAAGAGCATTCAGTGTAGCATTGGATGCTACCGTACCATATCTTTGAGAATGACTCAAAGATATAAAGCTTATATCAAAATGGATATTCCTTTTGTTTCAATTTAGATGCCGTATTTAGATGACATATTTTATTTATCGAGAGTTAAATTGTGTGAAATTTGACCAACATTTTAAAATATATATTTTTATCATATAGATATGAGAAAAATTGCAACCTATAATATTTCTCGTATAGTTTTTTTTATACAAATTTTAATTTTCAAAATATTAAGTTGAACTAATTTAATTTAACTTTAGAGTTTAGTCAAATTGACTTTTGATAAGCAAAATGTATCATTTAAATTGAAACAGAGGAAGTATCATTTTATTGTCTATACATATATATAAAATAGTTCGAGTCCAAATAATCGATTCAGTTAAATCAATGGCAGTGTCCACATTGTGTAAATAAGTAGTAATTTTTTCTTAATATACTAAATTTTCTTAGCCTTTTCCTGCGTTTAATTTTTTATATTTTAAATTCTTTTAGGTGTCATTTGGTAGGATGCATTAGATAAAATAATGTATGCATTAGCTTTGTGTATTCATAATACCTTGTTTGGTATACTTTTTGAACTTATACATTAGTTATGCAAGAATTAGTTATACATCATATTTGGTATTATCCTATGCATAACTAATGCATAAGAAATCATGGTAGTAACAATGCAATGGGTTTTAATGCATGCATTAGCTTAGTTAAAGATAAAACTGTCCTTCAAAATTTATGCTTGATTAAAATATGATATTCTATTAATGCAAGTTTGAAATAATCCAAGAAAGTGAAAAATAAAATTATATCCCTGGTGAATAAATATATACTTAATAGTAAGGGTGTTCATGGTTCGGTTTGAATCGATTTTTTCCTAAAAAGAAACCAAACCAGTAAGTCGATTTTTTAAATATTAGAACCAAATCAAACCAATTAAGTCGTTTTTTTCGATTCGGTTTATGTCGTTTTTCGGTTTTTTCGGTTATTTATCGGTTTTTTCTTAAATATAAGACATACACTACCAAACACACATTTCGGCGACCACATTTTCAACGTAACACTATCAAATCAATTGCCCTTNTGATGAATAATTTAAGGACTCAATTAAAAATATATTATTTTTAACATAAAATAGATTCTTACACTTAACAAAAGAAAACTACCAATCAAACTAGAATGTAAAGGTAAAGAACTGTACCAAAAGCGCAAACGGTTAACATTTACTATAAATTTAAAACTTTGTATAAAAGTATACATATATATAGGTGTAATACTAAATTTAAAATAGTTACTCCTATATTCAGTTTTGTTCGAGTTTTTTTTAATTAAAATCAAAACCAAACCAAATTTGATCGCTTTTTAAATTTCAAAACCAAAACCAAACCAAACAAAAAAGTATCAATTTTTTTGGTCGGTTTGGTTCGGGTTTTCGGATTTTTATGAACACCCCTACTTAGTAGCATATTTTCTTTTATAAATAAATATTTAGTTCTATACTATAATATAGGTAGACAAATGAAATAATTTTTTAAAAATCTTGTTCATATAAAAACATTGCTCAACATATGTTTCTTTTAAAAAAAAAACTGATGGACTAGTTATGATGATATTTTGTAAACAAACAATTCTTTTAAAAATTGTGCAATGCTTTAATATATCAAACTAGATATGTCAGCATAACTAATAATAGCATTACTAATACATAATATTCAGCATTATTCTTATACACCCTACCAAACGACCCCCTTAGTGCGTCAAATTTCTAGATTGCTTCTGCCATACCAAATGAGAATGATATTTCGTTTATTCATTTAGAGCTCGTTTGGTATGAGAGATAATGGATAATTAATCTCGAGATTAAATTTTAGTTGATATTATCCATGTTTGGTTGAGATAAAATCATGGTATAACTAATTCTGGGATTAGTTATCCCAAAATTGCAGTATTTTTTAATCCTTATGGAAGCGTGAGATAATTAATCTCATGATAACCAATCCCGTGATAATTAATCTCTTGGGGCTGGTTTGGTACGAGGGATAAGGTATAATTAATCCCAAGATTAAATTTGAAATGAGTTTATCTCATGTTTAGTTGGGATACAATTGCGAAAATAATAGTATTTATTTATTCTTATGAAAGGGTGAAATAACTAATTCCGGGATAACTTGTTTCCAACCCAATGACCCCTTACATGTTCAACTGTACGTGGTAAACGATCCTTCAATTCGTTTTGTCTTTTCCTCTGTTTTATAATGGAGAGGTTGACTAGCCTCGGATACTCTCTTTGCATGAGTGTGTTTTATGAAAATTTTTATTTTGTGTCTCGTATAATTGACACTAGTTGTATGAGGCAATTTTTTTATTTCACAGTTTTGTGGACCCAGTTTTTCATGGACCCAGAAGTGTAAGATTGGAGTCCACAAATTTGTGAGACAAAAAGAAGCCTTATACAACTAATGTAAGTTGCATGAGACACAAAATAAAACTTCTCGTGTTTTATCTATACAACTATGTGCTTTATTTTCCACTGACAAGGAAAAAAGCTGGTTGACAAAGACACAGAGCCCACTGGAGGTCCTATTTCTTGGACATTCTGCTGCTTTTATTTCAAATTTCAATGCGACTCTTCTGTCTAGGGTGCTTCCTGGTTAAGGTTAAGGATTTTTAAGAAAGCCGGTGCAATCTTGACTTAAATCTAGCAAAGAGTAAGATCAATTTAACATTACAGAACGAAGTAAGAGTAAGATCTCTTAATTCCCATGATTCATCTTTAGAATGTTTTTTTTTTAAGAGACGTTGAACTTTCCAACCAGTTTGATGTTGCTCCATACTACTTCTACCACTTACCAACAATTAAGTCATATATATTGAGTATAAAGAATTTTTGCTCGATTTAATTGTTATAGCACGTTATTATTTTAATTTCTAGATTAGCATACTATACTTGTACAAATAGTTACTAGTTATTTTATAGTATCAAATTTATATTTATTTGTGTGAAAAAACTATACATCAGTGTATGAATCTTAAACTCTTACTAACATAAATTGTTGTTAAAGAGTTCCCGTTGTATGGTACCCATTTTGGGGTCCAACTAATCCAAATACGCCAAAAGCCTCATTCAGAGGTAAAGCGTTTCTTACAAAAGTATCAAATTGACTACTAAAATTAAGGATTGGAACCAATTTGAAGAAAGAATTCAGAAAAGAGACGAAAGAAATAATGTTGGCTCCATTTAGAATGAGTACATGTACAAGCTTATATAGCTGGTGTTCTCTTCTCTATCACGTGCTTCTCACGTGACTTTAACTAACTTTATCAACTGACTATTAACAACTAATTGACAACTCATTAATCACTAACTACTTTTAAAACTAGCTAACAGTTATGCGATGCTCTCCTAGCTGCACTCCTCTGCTTCTGCTCATATACATCCGAATACTCCCCCTCAAGCTGGATGGTGGAAGATATCGAGCACACCCAGCTTGGAAAGAAGATGATGATGTTGGCTTACACCTAAGCCTTTGGTTAGCAGGTCTGCAATCTATAACTGAGTAGCTAGATAGGTAGTCTGAATCAACCCCTCTTTACTTTCTCACGAATAAAGTGATAGTTGATGTCAATATGCTTTGTTCTCTCATGGAATGTGGGAATTGAAACAATTTGGATAGCTGCTTTACTATCACAATGAAGTGGAACTGGTCTAGGAACACATACTCCAAGGTCCTGTAACAGACCAAGTAGCCACACAACTTCTGCTACACATGTTGTCATGCTTCTATACTCAGCTTCTGCCAAGCTTCTATAGACAGTATGTTGTTTCTTCGACTTCCAGGAGATTAAAGAGTCACCTAATTTGATAGCATAACCTGTCACTGAGTGCCTAGTGTTAGGGGATGCAGCTCAGTCTACATTACAAAATGCAGTCAACTGAATTGTGGAGTTTTCAGACATGAATATCCCTAAGCCTAAGCATCCTTTAATGTATCTAATCACTCTTAGTGTTGCATCCCAATGTG